CACACACACACACACACACACACACACCCAACAGAGTTGTATGACACAATATAGTGTGAAGAGCTGCAAATCAATAGTTGTCTAACTAGACACATTGCAAACAAACACTACAACACTAACCAACTTAAATCTTAAAGTTAAATTTTATTTATTGAGACTTTTTTAATATTTAGTATGGTTTACAAACATTTAGGTAGAAAACAACAACATACCAGAAAATCAACTTTGTGGACATTTTTTTGTTGTAAAGCATTAAAATGCTATTAAAAAGATACCAGTTTGGGTACCAACTGGTCCATAACTAAAGATTTTTACAATCTAAATCCCAGATTAGAAATAGAAAATATAAGTGACAATTTAATACGACTATACAATGAAAGTAAACTATTTATTGCACATCAAAATTATTAATTTTCCTGTTTCATTTTTACGAGAAAAGCTGTAGACTGTTCACTCTTCAGGGGTCGTCCTCTCTAACTGCATCCATATATCTCTTTATTGCCCTTTATCTTTGTCATTTGGCCAAAGAAGGCAAACGTGTAAGAGACAAATATAAAAATACATACAGTAGTTTATTTTAGAGATTGTGATATTTGTGCAGCAGAGGTTAAAAAATTGCATAGTTGTAATTTTTTTTTAAATATACTTAACATCTCGTCTCGTCTCTTCACTACACCCAGACGACCTCCACTGATCTGAACCTCTTGCAGTCCAGCCACTGGAGCTGAGTGATCTGCCAGCAGTGACTAACGTCCACACACTTCAGCCTCCTGCTCCGCTGCATTATGTTCTTCACCGTTACCATCTGCACGTCTGTCCGCGTCAGGTCGAGGTGTTGTACCCGTCCGAGCGGCAGCGGCGGTGGGGCCGGCGAGCCCGAGCTCACGTGCAGCAGCACGTCCTGCAGGACGCTGTTCAGAGGACACGGCAGGGAGATCAGGGAGAGCTTCTCCAGCAGGGGCGAGCCGGTCAGGAGACACGTGAGCACCTTCGTCAGGGACATCCAAAACATGAAGGGCTTCTTTTGGTTGTGATCGTAGGAGAAACTTTTCAGAGACAAAAAAGAAGATTAAAAAAAACAACTGGTTTGAGTGGAGGAAGGTGAACCCTGAACACTCATTTGAAAAGTCAACCAGCTTCAAGTAAGATTACCTGAGTTTGAATGAGTGGAGTTGTGGCAGCTGCGGGAGATCCCAATCATCCTCATCCTCAATCTGTAACGGAACAGGAGGCTCGGCAGAGATGTGAAAATCTCTGAGTCTGGGACAAGCCCTGATGACCTCCAGCAGTGGGCTGTGGGCGCTGGTTTTCACCCCCTCCAGGGAGAGAGAGAGCAGAGAGGAGCCTGCAACTTGTAAGGGAATAAGAAGATCCTCCAGCGGACCAGGATACTGAAATGAAAGGCTCCGCAGCAGCCCGACCCACGGCTTCAGGTCTGCTGCCAGCAGAGATTCCCGTTGTCTTCCGTTGCTGTACGGATCAACGTTCACAGATACTGACCTCATGTCTGGACATAAACGACTCAAACAGTCCAGAGAGACACAGGTCACACCCTGGACACTCCTCAGCTGCAGAACCAGTTCTGATCGGGACGGAGATTTCTGTTTTACTTCTGCACGGCTGCAAGGTGGCTCATCATCATCCTCACTCTCATCCTTCGTCGCGCACACGCCCTCTTCCTCGTCACTCTCAGCTGCGTCGCAACCTCTCCTCCTCTCCCAACTGTCCCCGCCCCGGTGCCGCGTCCTCTCCCTCCGCACCTCCTCCATCCGAGGAACTCTCTCCCTGTCGGCGAACTTGTCCGTGTGGAGGAACTCCTCGCGCTCGAGGAGGCCGCAGGCTGGAGCGAGGCCCTCCAAGGCCGCGCTCTCAAGACAGGGAAGGGAGAGGAGGAGATAGGCTGCTACCACTGTGGAGTCTTCCTCCTGCTCGCCAAACCCTATATCCAGAGCCAACAGGCTGCCGAGAGGGAGAGGAGGACGCAGGGCTGGAGAAGAAGAGGCAGATGACTGAGACGGAGAGGAAGAGGACGGACAGACACCGCCGAGAGGAAGCAGTGAAGCCGGGGAGAGCAAATGACAATGAGACACGTTGAGATGTCTCAGCGAACGGCAGCAGTCGACAACCGTCTGGATGACACTCCGGTCACAGCGCGTGCCAACAAGGGAGAGGGAGCGAAGCGCTGGGAGGCTGTGGACAGTTTCACAGAGGACCTTTGCAGGAAGCTGCTGGACTCCAGAAAGGTCCAGACTGCACAGACCCTGAGGGACAGAAGAGGAAGTATTTGATTAAAAAAAATTAATTAATTAATTAATTAATGCAGACATTCTTCTACCATCTGTTATCACTCTATAAATGAATCTGAGCTCAATATCTGTAGAACTGACTGAGGTATAGCCATAGTAGCTGTAGATACACCAGAGAAGAACAACTGGACTTTAAAGTGTATCTTACCCCCCCTGTGAAAAGATAACTCYGCCCCAAGGCGAAATTTGAAAAATGCATCAAAGTGGGTAGAGGAGGGGGTGTGGGGGGAGGGGGGGTTAGAGAGCGGAGGTGTGGCCAGGTCGAGAGAACGTGACAGGCAGCTAGCATTAGCATAATTGATGCTACATGGAGAGTGACCACAGTATGGGACAGAGGAGGTGGAGCGCTCCGACAGCCTGACAGAAAAAAAATAAAAGCATACAGCTGCAGCTGCTCACAAGATCGCTAGTTTAAATCAGGAATAAAACTGTTGGGTCTTGTTTGACTGAAGTTCGGTCCGGTTC